GCACAAGCATGCAACACATAGAAATAAAAAGACTTGTTGGAAAAAATATATAAATAATTAAGTTTAAACATTTAAGACAACCAAATGCATGTACAAGTAAAAGGAAAAACAATTAATATATATTTAAAAAACAGTAAACTAATTAGTAGACTAATTTTTTTGGAGCTAACCTGGAAAAATTAATATGAAAGTCACTAAAATATAAAACAGGAGAGAAAGTTCTCCTTTTTTTTTAAATTTAATTGGTGCATTTTAAGTGTATTTATTTAGTGGTTCATATAATTCCGGTTTTATTTCTAATTCTGTCAGTGTTTGTCCTCCGTACTGCAGAAGCCTGATAATCATCTTTTCATTCATATCAGGTGTGTTTGAGCAGAGAAACAAGTAAAACATGCAGGGCTGCAGCCCTCCAGGACCAGGAGTGACCATGCCTGGTTTAAAGTATCTTATGAGTGATACAATATTCATTGTGAAGCCAACAGTATTCAGACAGAAAACTAAATAATGTGAGGATGTATTGTGATGATGCCAACAGGAGTATTTGCTTCATGTACCTGTAGTAATAAAAGAGCTTAGAGGTAAAGATGGTGTCTCTTCAACCAGCCCCTGCAGCGTTATGTTATAGTGAGTGTAGGAGGTCAGACCCTCTGTTTCAGCTGTCCTCACACTTCCTGGTAGTTTGGTCACATTAGGCTGTGCTGCTGCTGACGGAGCAGTCGGCTCCACCAAAAAGCTGTTAAACACCTCATCAGGTGCTGACCCTGCCAGGCTTACAGCTGTGGTGGTAACACTGACTGAGAGGTCAGGGAGCTGCATGTGTGAGCCTTCAGCCTCGTCCCCAGAGCTCATCCCACCAGCGTCAGAAGGAGAAAAGCTTTCATTGTTTAAAGGAAGGAGGGGATCAGGCTTTTCATTCTCCAGAGCAGACTGTGTGGCTGGAGCTTCGTTGATGCTCAGCGTATGAACATCTGATGGTGCTAAAGTGGATAAAAACTGGTTAAAAAGCTAATTTCAAACTGCTGCTAGCTGCAGAAGAGCCTGTGGGGAAAAAATGTTAGAACAATTAACTCGTTCTGTGTTGTGCTTGATTTAAATTCAAAATGCATTCTTTCATCATGTAAATGTGTTTTCACAGCGTTTTCATTCCACGGCAACAACTGAGACATTAATGCCACTTGAGTCTGTGTCATTAACAGCTTGAAGATGCTGTGTAGTCCACCACAGTGGAAGTACACAGCTGTCTTCAACTGAAGCCATGCAGAGGCATTTTGGTTCCCGCAGTTCTATAGAAAAACCATGAGGATGTGAGTGATATTTGCATTTTTTTTCTTTTAACTGCAACAGAAAAGTTTAAACTTGTAAATGGAAGCCAAAGAATAAGGATGCAAGGCAGTTAGAGATGCAGAGGGTGCTGCAGAACTCTACAATGAATGCCAGAAAACATGCTTGTTCAAATACGAAGTTAATCAAATGAATAAAGCAGATTCCATTGGTGCTGTATACTGTATGTTTAAATACCAATTATACACCGAGGTGTCAAAAGTATTCACATTCATTACTTAAGTAAAAGTATAGATACTAGGGTTTAAAAATACTTTTTTGGAAGTAGAAGTATCAACTCGAGCTTTTTACTCAAGTAAAAGTATAAAAGTACTGGTTTTAAAACTACTTAAAGTATAAAAGTAAAAGTAATGAACACTTTAAAAAAGCCATTAAGGATAAATGCTTAGGC